CTCCGCTTCCCCCTCGACGCATATGCGGCGCGCGATCTCTGCCTCCTCGGCGCCCGCTCGATCTCCGCTTCCCTCCAGCGCGCCATCTCTGGATGCAGTCAGGCTACCGGCGTGGGCGGCCAGGTGCAGCGGCGTGCTCCCAGGCCGGGAAGCGGTGGGCACGGAGACGTCGTCCTTGTCGAACAGCAGGTGCACGCATGCCAGGCGGCCCTGCCTGGAGCGCTGGAGCTAGGTGCAGCAGCATGGCACCCCGCGTCCCTGACGTAGACGAAGCGAGAGAAGCTCCTAAGGCAGCGACGGTCCGGTCCCTGCCTGGGATAATAATATTAATTATGGGTTAATCTAGTTAGTTGCTATGGTATTTGAGTTATCTATTAGTGCTTGTAGTTTCCATACTACATAGAACTTGGTTTATATGGTAGTGGTAGTGTTTGATGAATAAAATTCATGTCACAGCGCAAATGGCTACAGGGATATAATTCACTCTTAATCCTACACATTGACATGTGCATGTTATAATTAATTATTTGATTATAAGATGTAGTCATCCAATGAACAAGCTATTGTATCTATAGTTGGCTTTAGGAGTATACTATTAGCCTTGCTCTAATGGGCGATCAGTCGCGCTCTCTCCACGCCGCGCGATCAGTTCTGACCCTTTAGTCTCTCCTCTCTACTAGCGTTTTCCGTTTTTTTTTTCGGTTTCTCTTGTGCGCCCGAGTTTTCCGTTTCTTTTTTGTTTTTTTCGGTTTCATTTTTTTTGTTTTTTTCTGTTTTTCTTCCGTACCTTCCGTTTTGTTTTTTTTCTGTTTTTTTCTTTCCATATCTTTTCCTGTTTTTAATACTTATGTATGCAAACTTTATATATTTTTGTATACGTTTATTTTTAGGTTTTTATACGTACGTATACCAATTTAGTATACATGTATACAAAGTTTGTATACACATATAAAGTTTGTATATGCGTATTTTTTTGGGTTTTTATACCCACGTATACCAATTTTGCATACACGTATATAAAGTTTATATACACATTTACAAAATTTATATACGTGTATTTTTTTAGGTTTTTATACGTAGGTACAAATATAAACTTTGTATACGCGTATACAAACCTTGCATCCCGTACGTACACATATATAAACTTTGTATACACGTATACAAAGTTTGTATACGTGTATACAAAGTTTGCATACGCTTATACTAACTTTGTATATGTACATATTAAAAACCGAGAGAAAAAACATGAATAAAAAAGAAAATACAAAACTTAGTATACATATGAATATAAACTTTGCATACGTACATCTTAAAAAAACTGAAAAAAAAGAAGAGAAAAAAAAGAAAAAAACCAAACAGAAAGAGAACCGGAAAAAAAGAAGAGAAACCGAACAAAACCCAAAAAAACCAGAAACAGAAAGAGAACCGGAAAAAAAAGGAAGAGAAGCGAAAAAAACCGCGTGGGCACCGTCCGCCGCCCCCTCCGCGCGTGACATGTGTCCAGTCGCGCGCCCGCGCGACTGGTCGCCCATTAGCTTTTTCGGATGCAAACACATCCAAGTTGCGATCTGTGCACTTCGAAGGCATTCCATATTAGTATCCTGTTGTAAATTAAAGTATCAGTACATGGTTTCTGGATCTAGGAATTTTAGTAATACCATAATAACGCTAAGTTAGTCTATTAACCAGCCCAGTATTAGGTCAAATATTATCGTTATCGTTCCTTTAGGAAGTCACAAGCTACGTACATTTTGTACCATTAGTAAAGTCAGGTTGGTCTTCAAGTTTGCACATTCTGATCGCAGTGTAGACCAAACAAGTCGCACCGGGCCCTCTTATTTGCACATTCGAATTGCAGCGTGGGCCAACAAGGTCATGATTGAATCCCCTCGTGGGCCGTGGCCCATTATAGGTTCACATGCGAACCTACACACAACCATGTTTCGCCCCTACTCAACCCATGAAAACATAAACGCCAAAGTATAAAATTTTGTTCAAAGAAGAGGGAGAATAAAGGTGCGATTTAGTCAGAGAATTTTGTTAATGTATCTAAGTAGTGGCATATCTCGAATAGCTATAAAATTGTAATTGGGTTGTTACAAATATATGATAATGGCACATTGTAAAACAGGAGAATTTATAATGATATTTTTTTAGATAATGGAATTAAAATCTAATTAATCCTCATTTTCAAAGTATATCCTGACACGCTTTAAATTCTTGGGGGCTTAAAAGTTAATGAAAATGGAGAAAGTCGGTAGGCTACAGGTGTCCATTATTAACATGAATAATATGAATATACTTCAACGGTGTCCATTATTAGCCTATTCTGCAACACCCCAAAGGGGAACTGATACATAATAACTTCACCAAACGCAAATTCCTGAAATAATGGCTGTGTTTAGATCACGATAAAATTGAAAGTTTGATTGAAATTGGAACAATGTAACGAAAAGGTTGAAAGTTTATGTGTGTAGGAAAGTTTTGATGTGATGGAAAAGTTAAAAGTTTAAAGAAATATTTTGAAACTAAACACGGCGAATAACGAGTTTGACAAAATTTCGCATCAATGGATGCGATCGAGTAAACAAGTCGAACAGAAAAACGAGAGGGATGAACAGGTGGTCACTAGCCGGCCCACTAGCAATGTGAACAGATGGAAATGTCCGATACCCACCGGCGGCCGATCGAGTCCTTTTTTCTGTACACGTACGTCACCCATGTGACATTCCGATATCCAATGTTTTGGTCGTCATCTACCAACAAAATTAAATCAATTTAACAGGCAATCTCTAAACTTATACACATTTTGTATACATTTACACCATATGCTTATACATTTTCTATATGTAGCAAATGCTACTGTGATAGTATAGTATCGTTCATTTTACAAGCTGAGATGTTCAAGCTATAAACTCGACACGAATACACGATGGATGTAACACGTCTGTATTTCCACTGGTATGTGACATATACTCCTATATCCATCGCATGCGTGCTTTTGTAAAGTGGATGTTGCATGCATACATAGGCTATGTTAGCCAGAAAGTTGGTTTTTATCATTGGATGAATATATAGAAGCATTGGACTGAATTTGACATATCTAAGTCCCACAAATCTAGATAGAAGCATGTTTGAATTTGTAGTATTATGATATATTAAATTCGATCCCAAGTTACTATATATTGAAATGAAACTTACTCCCTCTGTTCCAGGTTACAATGCATTTTGACTTTTATCTAAATCAAACTGCTTCAAATTTGATCAAATTTATAGAAAAAATAGTAACATTTTCAATCCAAAGACAGATTTATTATGAAAATATATTCAATTATTGAGTTAATAAAACTAATTTGGTATTGTAAATGTTATTATATTTATCTATAAACTTAGTTAAACTTAAATTTTTTACCAAAGTTAAGATGATCTATAAAATGAAACGAAGAGAGTAATAACTTGTCATGGCCTCGTGGGTGTATCGTTTGTGTTGTGTTCTTTTAAGAAAGAAAAACCATTCGTTCTCGTTTTATGGCCTTGGACATTGTCAGTGACATGGGATCGGGAGTATCATGACTAGAGGTTTGAGGCAGACACAATCGCCCACGTGGCCTGGCACCCTCGGGGGACGTCGGGCCCGAGGGTGATGTGTTCGCCCTCCTCTTAGTCCCCCCGAGGGGGTCGAGCCGCACCCGCCTCGGCCCCGAGGGCCGAGGCGCCCCGACCCCTCGTGGGTTTTCGCTCCGCGTGTATGGGTTAGGTGGGCACAGTGGGGCTCACCTAACCACATTTATTGCGGTTTGGCTGAGCGTGTCACGCCGCATGTAACGCGGTGCAGTGCACTCATTTATCCGGTCTGTGACCAGTCACAGACCGGTCAGATCGCGGGTTAGGCGGCGACAGGCGATCTGACGCACGCCTCGCTAGCGTGTTACCTCCCAGAGATGGCACGTTAGTCCTGGTCAGATATATGCCAGGCTTCATCCTAACCATTACAGGCAAAATGTTGTGTGAAGAAGGGCCAACGTGCAGATTGCTAAGCTGACGCGTGGTGGACAAGAATGACCGATTTGTGACCAGTCTGACACCGGTCATGTCGTCAGCAGACAGCCATGATTCCGCGTCGCGCCTGCTCCCGGCGAAAGTGGAGGTAGGTGCGGGCCGTCCCATCAGAAGGTGACTCGAACGGCAACCATGCAAATCTCCGTCCATTTATGAAAAGGTAGGGTAAGTCCCCACAGAGAGGGGGGGATGGTGCATGCGGTATCCCCTTAAGATATAAAAGGAGGACCTTGCCCACTGAGAGAAAGGGAGGTTTTTTTTTTTGGACTGGACTTTTCCAGATTAGAAACCCAGAACAAGGGAGAGGCTGGCTCATACTTTGTAGCTCCTTCACACACGAATCCACCAAAACACAGGAGTAGGGTATTACGCTTCTAAGCGGCCCGAACCTGTATACATCGCCGGCGTCTTCTGTGCTTCCTGTCTCGCGAACCTTCCACATACAGATTGGGAGCTTGGAGTCTCACCTAGGGTCCCCGGCCGAACCGGCAAAGGGGGGCCTGCGCGGTCTCCCGGTGAGGAGCCCCACGCTCCGTCAGACATGTAAAAGAAAAATGATAAAGTTGTGTTTAGATTTAGGGTGTAAAGTTTGTAAAGGCTGTGTTTAGTTCACATCAAAATTAGAAGTTTGGTTGAAATTGGAATGATGTGACGGAAAAGTTGGAAGTTTACGTGTGTAGGAAAATTTTGATGTGATTGAAAAGTTGGAAGTTTGAAAAAAAAACTTTAGAACATAGACTAATAATAAAACAAATTATAGAATCCGCCTGTAAACTATGAGACGAATTTATTAAGCATAATTAATCCATCATTAGCAAATGTTACTGTAGCACCACATTGTCAGATCATGGAGCAATTAGGCTTAAAAGATTTGTCTCACAATTTACACACAATCTGTGTAATTAGTTATTTTTTCGTTTATATTTAATATTCATACATGTATCCAAACATTCAATGTGCAAGATGAAAATTTTTGCCAGGGATCTGTGACCTAGATATATGTAACCTTGCACACACTTCCGAATACGTTCGAGGAAGCTGCACCATATGAATCAACGCGTTATTAATACGTAATCAGCAAGTCTTAGGGCATGTTTAGATGGCAAACAAAAATTACCCCAACATATCGTATCGGATGTACAAACACACATTTAAAATATTAAACGTAGTGTAATAATAAAATTTTGCCTATAAACTGCGAGACGAATTTATTAAGCCTAATTAACTTGTCATTAGTAAATGTTTACGGTAGCACCACATTTTTTATCAAATAATGACGCAATTAGGCTTAAAAGATTCGTCTTGCAATTTACTGGCGAACTATGTAATTATTTTTTTCTACATTTAATACTTCATGCATGTATCTGAACATTCAATGTGACAGCGTGAAAAATTTTATTTGGGAATTAAACATATCCTTAATCATCAGCACTTCATCAATATAAAAGAACAACCCAGCGTCGACTAATCCACTACACACCACGTGATTTCCTCTCCCAAATCCACCAACCGTCCTCCGGTCTCTCCTGTTCTTCGCTCGATCCTCCAATTTCCTCTCCCAAATCATCTCGAGTAGTAATCAGTGTATTTTGTTGCTTATTTCGATCGATCTCATCCCAACCTGTTCGATCGTCGCCTCCGCCGAGTTTTGCTGCTCGATCGGATCGGTCAAAGCAGCACACCGGCCCGGCAAGCCATGGAGCTGACGCTGCTGGTGTTCGTCCTCGTCGCGGCCTTCTCCTTCGTGATCGGCACGGCCGTCACCACGGCGCCGGCGCCGCCATGGCCAGCGGCGGCCTTCGCCGCCTACCTCTTCTGGGTCGTCGCCTCCGCCGCCGTCGCCCTGTTCGTCCGCCGCCCCGCCGCGTGAACACACACACCCTCACCAACTCCGGCCGGCCAAACTCAACTCGGATCGAGATCCAGTCAGTGATTCTAACCCTTCACTTCCTACCTACTGCTCCGTCCAAAAAAAAAAGAAAAAAAACTCTAATTATGAATCTAGACACGTATATGTCTAGATTCGTAGTTAGAATTGGATTTTTTTTTTTTGGACGGAGAGGTAAACAGCTAGTAGTATCTCAATCTGCTAGCTCTATCCGCCGCCTCGCTCGATCTCGGCGTTCGCGCGCACCGCACGCCGGCCTGAATGGCTCCAAGGGAAGGGAACTCCTCTTCTCTCTCTCTCTCTGAAAATATACTTAGATTATAATATAATTCACTTTGCAGGTTTTTATTTTTTCGAACCGCTTTTATTTTATTTTATTCTTTAACGAAATTGATTTCTTCGGTTTCATAGGCGTTCAATCGATAGATCGATGGATCGATCTGCCAAATTTCCCCGAGGAAATTTCTGCTACCTCCCTAGGCACACATACATACATATAATAATAACCATATACATCAAATTAATGATGTGTTACTTACAGATGATTTATATATATTAGCTCATCGATCTCTCCTGATGCAGGCAAAGGGATCCACCACAAGCGGCGCGCGGCAGCCGGCCGGTCGATCGATAACCATTATATATATTCATTTGGAATGATTACTAATGCTGCAGGTCAATATATATCAAGATGCTGTGTTATATTTGGTGAATATATTGCGAGTTCTTCGTCAGGGAGAGACGGACAATCAAATTGTCGTCTCGTCTTTTCGATCAAAGTGGAGGTGCTGGTGGATCATAGTTAAATTCGCAAGTCTGCGCATTCATGAATGCCTGAAAAATCGAAAAGAGGAAATATTTATTATCTTAGAATGTTATATGCATGTAAATTTGGATGTTGTGATTATCTCGGCATCTTATAAGAGTGGATAAAAAATATTTATATACAGTACAGTACATGTTGCTTGGCTATTTGTGGATTTACGATTGCTTGTGGTTAGTGTTTTTTTAAATAGAAATTGTTGTATTGTTTTCGAGTTAATTGGCTATTGTGGTTTTTGTAAAGAAATGGGGTACATGTATCTTTTATTCTTTTTTTTAAGAAAGGGCTGAAGGTTTGTCACTTTTGCATTAAATAGGACAGAGGCACAGGTGTCACTTTAGACACTAATAAAGTTGCTCTGTCTGTGCGTAATTGCCTTGTGCTGGTTAATAGACTTTTTAATAAAGTTGCTCAGTTGATCTGAGAAAAAAATATTGACCCAGCTAGCATCAGCTTACACTCACGATCCTCATGCAAAATAGTTAGGCGGACGTGATGGTTAAAGGCTGTGTTTAGTTTAGCGCAAAGTTTGGATTTTGGTTGAAATTAAAGATGATGTGACTGAAAAGTTCTATGCGTATGATATGTTGATGTGATGGAAAAGAACTGAAGTTTGGATTTAAACTTTGTATCTAAACACAGCCAAAGTTAGTCGGTTCAAGCCCAAAAAGTACGCAATAATTTTTCGCAAACGCAATGATAACGCAATAATGAAAGGTTGTTGTATAAAGTTGGACGAATGAACGGATGGCAATGGTAAATGAGAAAATTAATTAAGCAGCTAAACACAAAACAAATGTCTGCCTTAGCCCCTAGCCAGCCATTCACACGCGGAAGGAAGAGAACCGAGCCTATCCCTGTCTCTATCTAACGAGGACTCTTATAAGCTAGCTTTACAAATTTGATAGTAGGATTTGTATCGAGACGTAACTAAATCGCTAGTAAATTCTACGAATATGTTCCAAAGTGCTGCGTAGAAATACTCGTACTCCACGACATGCCTTTTCAAAGAAGCCATATATACATGAGATATCGTGAAATACGAGTGAAACTTACTGCAGTAAAAGAGGAGTCGTCCTCCTCCTCTTCACCTAGCCAATCATGCGTCCCACCATCCAGAAAAAACCAAACAGTTTCTCCAGAAAACCGTCAATTAGGAAAAATAACCAAAATATAGGTGGATCCAAACACGGTGTACTAATAACACTGTAAATAGGTTTTATTTTGTTATGAAATGATATAGCATGGATAATTTACTAATATACTCCATTCGTCCCAAAATAAGTGTAGTTTTGCACTATTCATCTCTAACGTTTGACCGTTCGTATTATTTGAAATTTTTTTATGATTACTATTTTTATTATTATTAGATGATAAAACATGAATAGTACTTTATGTGTGACTAATTTTTTAAAAAAATTTTATAAATTTTTCGAATAAGACGAACGGTCAAACGTTAGACACGAATTTCCACGGCTGCACTTATTTTAGGACGGATGCAGTAAGTAAAAGAAGAATCCAATCCAGCGAAGTTTGAATGAATTAATCGGTTGAGCAACGCGTGGGAGTAGAATAAAAGTGCAGGGAAAAAGGAACCTTACTCGTATCCTATCAGATCACCGGTTTGCCGTATCAACGAAGCAGAGAGAGCACTAGAATGTTCACCAAATTTGTCAAACCCAAAAGTCTAGTATTGGCAGAAGAGCAGCAAACAAAAGCCAATTTTGCCTCCGTCGTGGAGGTCCAATCTCGATCTCATCCGCTTGTTTTTGGGAGACAAACAGAGAGCGACCGGCCAAATGGCCAATGGTCGGTTTGAGTACTGGCCCCACATGCATGCCAGTGTGTCTACAGCTTAGAGCAAGACTAATAATACAGGCGATTTGTTAGCTATAAGATTCTTTGTAGCATTCTCTCAGCCCACCCATATACTCCCTCCATCTACTTTTGATAGTTATATTTTATCTTGGCACACAGACCAGGGATAAGTAATTCTACTTTTCATTCATTAAACATACTATTAGTTATTCCTCGTAAATAAACGATTCATTAATATTTACATTTATCGATGCCCATGTAGCCAATCTTGTGTAGAAGAATGGAGAGTCACACATTAAATCCTAGAAAGTCATTAAAATGGTAGGTTGTTAGATTGAAATATGCCTATCAAAAATAAATTTTTCAGATTTAGAAATATGACTATCAAAAGTAGATGGAGGGAGTAATAGCTAGCTCTTTACAATTAATATATGACATACTTATCTCTCTCACAGAGTTTCTTGGTTCTTGTGTCCAAGCCAGCTATAAGTTTACATCCCGCTTCTCCTCTCTCTCCCCTCTTTTCTCCTCCATCTCAGCATTTAGTCGGCTTATAGCCTACTAAGATACTTGCTCTTACGCCCAACTCGCATTGCTCACTTGCATTGTCACCTGCTCACCAAAGTCGAAGAAGTTGCCTCTGAAATTAACATGGGAAATCATGTCGACATGGTGAGGTTAAAGAATGGAAGAGTTTATTGTACTTGATTCCCTTGAACAACTCAAGGAAAGGAGAACAATTAGGACTAACCAACCTCACTAGCTTACAGAAACGTGAGCACAAAGTCAATCTTTTAAAAATTTTAGAGTCAAATACATAGTATACATTTTTTTCGAGAGTCAACCACAGCTGTTAGCACCAGTTTAAACAACACCTTCCGAGAGTTTACCTAAAACAACAACAAAAAATAAAATGAAATAAAATAGTGCTAACATTATAAAACATAACACGAACAATTCTAGCAAAGGAATTTTTTTTAAGCCTAGGCAAGCCTTATATTATCGTCAATAGGACTAGGTTAGATTATAAGGCTATAATATAATCTTGAAATGAATGCTAGCAAGTTGTTATTGTCAGTGGCGAAGCTATATTGTTCTTGGGTGCACATGAACCTCCAAATTCCTAATTTCTCACTCAAAAACACTAGAATGTATAGTGTTGTACTAAAATTTTCTAAATTTTTAATGATAGTACACCCCCTTGTTTTGATGCTAGCTTCGTCTCTGGTTATTGTATTGGCCCTTGTGGCCACGTACAGCGCAATATGATAGGTTTGGCCCTTGCTTTGCTCGTTTGCTAGCCGATCATCTAATTAATTAATCTTTATTAGAACCTAGCTAGCATAATTAGGCACATAATTATAGTAATACTCTGTATAAAGCCTAAGAGTTTAGGAATAAGTTCACCGGAGGTCCCTCAACTTAACAGCGAGATTATTTTAGGTCCCTCAACCACAATACTAGAAATGTTCGTCCCTAAACTTATTCAAACCGTTCACTGGAGGTCCCTTGGCAGTATACGAGGGTGGTTTCGCTGACGTGGCATACTAGTCAGCAAAAAAAAATTTAAAAAAATACGTGGGGCCCACATGTCAGCCACTCTCTCCTCTTTTCCTCTCCTTCTCTTCTCTTCTCTCTCTTCTCTCTTCTCTTCCTCGGTGAGGGGAGGCCGGCGGCGAGCGGCAAAATAGCACGGCAGGCGGGCGGCGCGGAGCAGGCGGGCAGATGCGGGCGTGGCGTCCGGGACGGAGCGGGCGCAGCGGCGCGCGGGGAGCACGGGAGCGACGGCGAGCGAGTGTGGGAGTAGAGCAGCGGCGGTTGAGCGCGACGACGGGCGCGGGGAGCACAGGAGCGGAGCAGCGGGCAGCGCGTGGAGTGACGGTGGGCAAGCGTGGGAGCGGACCGGCGGTGGTCGAGCGCGGCGACGGGCGTCGGGAGCGCGGGAGCGGAGCGACAGCGGCATGCGAGAGCGGCAGCGGTCGGCAGATGCCAAGCGGAGCGGTTTGGGAGGGAGGGGGAGACGGCCGGCAAGCCCGTCCGAGCTCGCCCAGCCTGCGCACGAGTGGAGGTGTGCCGCCGGCGGACGGCATGCGGGTTCGACGATGAGGAAAGGGGGAGAGATGAATCGACGGCCGACGACAGCGAAGGCGGGCGTGCGCGGCACTGGGCTGCTCACCGTCGGCGAAGACGAGACTTGGAGCATGACGAGCGCCGCCGCTCTCGCCCGCCGCCCCGCCCGCCGCTCCCACCGTCCCGGCCGCCTCTCTCCCCCTCTCCGCGTCGCCCGCCGCCCTACCCGCCGCTCCCACCGTCCAGACCGCCTCTCTCCTTTCTCCCGCTTCTTCCCCGCGCGTCGCCGCGCCCGCTCCGTCCCGGATGCCTCTCTCCCCCTTTCCGCGTCGCCCGCCGCCCCACCCGCCACTCCCACCGTCCAGACCGCCTCTCTCCTTTCTCCCGCTTCTTCCCCGCGCGCCGCCGCGCCCGCTCCGTCCCGGACGCCGCGCCCGCATTTCCTCGCCTGCTTCGCGCCGCCCGCCTACCGTGCTCTTTTGCCGCTCGCCGCCGGCCTCCCCTCACCGAAGAAGAGAAGAGAGAAGAGAGAGAAGAGAAGAGAAGGAGAGGAAAAGAGGAGAGGGTGGCTGACATGTGGGCCCCACGTATTTTTTTTAATTTTTTTTGCTGACTAGGATGCCAAGTCAGTGAAACCACCATCGTATACTGCCAAGGGACCTCCGGTGAATGGTTTGAATGAGTTTAGGGCGAACATTTCTGGTATTGTGGTTGAGGGACCTCAAAAAATCTCGCTGTTAAGTTGAGGGACCTCTGGTGAACTTATTCCAAGAGTTTAATGCATGCATGGAGCCCAGTCACTAGCTCAAGGTGGTCGGCCTCAACATGGCCGAATGGGTTGCCTGGCTCAGCTCGGCCTGGGCACAGCCAAGGCCCAACCCCGCCAAACGGTTGGGCCAGACTGTGCCCAGGCACTGCCCAATACGAGGTGGGCCGACTCGAAGGCACGACCAGCCTCTTGTGCTCATTCTTGGAAATTGGAATAAGTCTTTTTTGCCTTCCTCCTGTTTGGGCCGTGTCTTACATATGGCAGAATAAGTTCACTTCACGTCCCATTATACCGCTAGTTGACACCATGCATACCACTTTGCTAGGTTTTGTACTTACATTACTTGACACCATATGCTAGTGTATTATTCCTCTATCTGCATAGTCAAAATCTCTTCTATTACAAGGCAGAGGAAGCAAATTACATGTTCTGTTTTGTGTCTCAGTTTGTTGAGTTTGTGATTTGAATTTTAGAGTATGTACTGTATTTGGATTAGTTTCCTAGATTTTTTTTATATATCTAGACATATCTTAACTCTAGATGTTATATTTGTAGTGGACTTGTGGAGCAGTCTAAACCTAACTCCACTTATCTAGGGTTGTGTTCAGATCCAAAGTTTGGA